TAAAACCTGATTATAATCTCTTCCTCCTATTTTTCCTGAATTTCAAAATAGTAGGTATTTCTGATTACTTTTACTGTACTGAAAACAACCATTCGACTTAATTTGGCCGTCTTAAAAGTCGTGAATTCTAGGCAACTAAATCTAGATATAATGCCAAACTTGCAAGATCGCGGTTTCAAGATTTTCGAGAATAAACTATTTCTCCGACATGACACTCACTGCCACAGACAAACTCAAAGATCTCCCGTGATCATATCCTTCCCAAATTTAGATGTCTGGACGAATAGCCAAAGGCCTGGTAGAGCGGATATCTCAAGTTATGGGTGGCACTTGCCCACATCATTGTCACGATCCGAGTCCTATAGCTGTAGCAAGATTGAGTGGAGGAGGTAATATATTTTTAATATCTCAACCTGTTGTATTTGGGTAAAAAAGTTGTTGCGAAAGATGCGTTTGTCTTTGAACTATTTCTCGACCGGATAATAAAGCGTGAAAAAGGTTTACGAACTTTACTAGACACTCGCCCGCTTTTTGCTCTAGATGGCATCATACTTATGTAAATGAAAATCGAATGTAAAAAACGATGTAAGCTTAACGTCACTTTCTTTTTGGACGTTATCTTATTCGTTGCCGAGCACCTGGACTGCAAAATAGAACTTCACAGGTTAAAATTATGCAGGGTACAGTCGTTAACTAACGATATTCTCAAATCCTTAATGTTACTTGAGAAGTGTAAATTAATTCAGCCAATATTTCTTCAGGGGCAACTCCAGACAACGCATTTGAAATGATTTGTTCTACGATTCGTTTTGGAAAGGGAGTTACTTCTGAAATTGGTTACGATGTGAGGCAGTTGGGTGCTAAGCATACACTAATTGTTACGGATAAGAACGTGATAAACACTACAGCGTTTAAGTGAGTCGCTTGTGAAGGACTAACGTACAATTAAATCGCAAGCGTTGATTTTTTTAGAAGCGTCTCAATGTCCCTGCAGATGCTTGGTTTGAAGTTTACGGTGTTTGACGATGTCCTTATCGAGCCAACGGATGAAAGTGAGTAGAAAGAGCTGCTATTTTAAATCGCCCGAAAGTCAAGTTAGTTTATATTATAGCAAATTCATTCAAAATATGACATCAAATTTGTGAGGCATTGATCTGATCGTGGCCAGCAGAGAAAAACTCAGAAATCGTAGCCATTCCTATTAGCGGTAAAAAGCGTCGCGACCACTCCAATCATGATTTATAAAAGAGAAATAGACGTGTGAAGGGCGCTAAGTGAACGAAGAATAATGACACAATTAGTCTGGTTTCACACATTTGGTTTCGCGGCTAAGAACTAGCCCAGGACTTTCTTGGTGGTCCGCATTATGCACCCTTTCATCGGTGGTTCCCAAAATAAGCTGCAAAAGCAAATCCTACTAGTAGGTTAGATAGAAGATTTCAATGGAAACGAAGAGGGAGATAAAAAGCACAAAATGATAAAATTGTGAAATGTAAACGCACAGTAGTGAGAAGTTGTGTACTAATTTCTGCCACT